TGTTTAAGGCTAAGCTGTTAAATTCACATCTAAATGTATGTACAAAGGAGAGAAGCCTTCCTGGCCTTCATGCTAAATACAGCTTGACTGAAAGGTTACATTCAGTTGTTATTGTCCGTGCGGTCACAGTGTTTGGACACAGCTCACACTGCATTGACTGCACTGATAAGATCACGTTTTATTGTCTATGACTGATTTTGACTCAATGACCCTGAATAAGTGATTTCACATATGACCTTATAGCAGCTTCGAGAATAGTGTCTGGTGAATCCCCTGGTCACATGATTGGCTGCTGAATGCATTTGCAGATGTTACCTCTTTATTGCTGTGGTAATGAGGCAGATGTGGTCAGAGCGGGTGCAGGGCGCTAATAATTGAGCTGGAAAGAGGGACCGACAACATGACTTCATATTGGAACAAAAAGCCTCTTCCTCCTATAGTCCTCTCAGAGCTCAGAGCTGGGCTGTGCTTCCCTCGACATCCTGTGGCACACAAATCCTTTCAGCACTTAAGAAAAAACACCATCATTCAAACACTATGTGCAAAAGATGGAATGAGGTGTTAGAAAATGTGTATTTATTTTTCTTTTAAATATGCACTTCATGTTGTAAATATTCATATTCGCAAAGAAGTGTAATTTTGACAGGGAAAAAAAGCAATGGCCATGCAAAAAATTTTTGATGCGCATTCTTCCTTCTCTATTTAAAAATAAATATGCTCTGAAGACAGTCTAATAATGGAAAACATTTTTTTATATTTTTTTATTCATTGGGATATAAAAAGTAAACATTAAACTAATCTTTGTCAGTAGCCTTTTTTATATCATGGAAAAGTTAAAAAGTCTTACTCACCTGCATTCATCGTCATAGTAAAATCCATTTGTCAAGCTTTCAAGCAACATGTTGTCAAGGTACTCAGAATTGATTGTATTGCCAATAATGGAGGCAGTGCCAATGCAAAGTTTCACATGTACTTTTTACCTTCGTAGGAGCAGAAATGTAAAAGTGTAAGCATCTCTCTGACCACCACTGTGACTCAACAGTGAAGCCGACATTTAGCAGATCAGACAAAGGAGGTGATGTGAGAAGAGGCCACTGTTAGATAATCAGAAAAACATCCACTGAGCAAGGAGCACATTTGGTGCCAAGAACAGATGAGTGGAGAGTTTCTGAAATCCTCTGCTTGACTTTTCACTGTGTAGGTGGATCAAATCTCACATATTCACACCTCACTACTGCCTTCCTTTCACATCTGCTGATAATGTCTCTGCACATCCAGATGCACCACCAGTGGAGTCTGTTCAATTGTGTTGTCCAGTTTGATTTTGGATGTAAACTGAATTACTTCAATGGTTGTTAACAAAAATACATTTCTTGAGATAGTATCCAAGGAGGAGATTCATAATTAGTGGCTGACCAATGGTAGTGGGTGCTAGTCATAATCTGGGACAAATGAAAAGAGTTACACCATAAATGGCATTCAACATAAAACCATGCCTTATCAATTAGCACTGCATAATAGGAGGCTGGGTATTTGCTATGAACGCAACTGAAGGGGTAAAGTAAGGACAAAAAAATAAATCAAAATCTGCACAGACCTTACATATTTTATAACAACTTACAAATGTATTAAAAAATTGAAAAATATACTGAGGCAAAGAGAGTTAAGATGAAATGAACAGAAACTCTTTGCTTATATGCATTATGATGGTAACCCCCTGGTGTCCCGCCAGGCAAACGACGTCCCTCTCTGACCTTAATTTCGCTGCACTTGACTTGATGATGTCAGAGCTGCTAAGCAGCAGCATAAATAAAGGGAGGTGACCATGCTAGCCACATGGAACAAATTAGACTGACAAGTTCCTGTATCCACAGCCCACAGCATATTTTGGCTGAAATGTAAGTGACAGCCCTCAGTGTTTAATGCTAAAAAGTACTGTGCGGATTTAGGGGCATTTTTAGACTTTATATAACATACCACCATTACACCTGTAGTCAACATTAAAAGCATATTGAACAGCATGGTCTGTTAATGTAGGGCACAGGTTTAAAAGCTTCCTGTTATCTAAGTTTACTGTCTTTTATAAGCTTCCCTCAGGAACTACTTTGTAAAGTGCAGCCACCAAAATCTTTCGACTTAATGACAATGCACTATACTCTGCACTCACCATACAATACACTAAGAGCAGTGGTATATTTAGGCCTCAGAGGACAATAATGTGAGAAGTCTAGAGACCCAGAGACAGACGGGAAATAGCATGTTGGATGTGCACGGATAACTCTGGGATGAATTATTTATGTATCAAGATGTGTTTTGGGTGTGTCTGTCTGTGGATGAAGGAGTCTGTCCAGATTGGAGTGAAATAATACTAATACAGATTCAAATGACAAATGTTGTGTCCTCTGCTTTTTTCATATTGTCATCTGTTTACATGGATCATGCTAAAATGGGTGAAACTATATAATACAAAAATGGCATAAAATAATCATTAAGGTGAAAATGTTTTGAAGTAATTTTAGATAAACAACTACATTGCTATTGTGTGTATGACTTTGTGGAGCTATTTTTACACCAAGTACATTGTTTAGTGTTAAAGTTTTTAACAATGAGGGTGTGTCTAGATATAACTAGATACTGTGAAGTCATTGTATTTCTGCTTTGCATTTTAGGCTATCAACAGTAACAGTGGATACAGAAGTTCATGACCTTATTTGACCCACAAGCAAGCACTCAGAGCAGTCACATTAAAAGTGTGAGTCACTGGCTGGTTGCAGTTTGGCCACAATATAATCAAAATTAAAATAAATAATAAACCAAATAGGATTAATCAAAGGTAATATTTATGTGTCAATATTGTGTTGCAGAGGAGCATTGGGAAAAGTTGACATACTATTGACCTTTAAAAGGAAGTTCTTCCCGTTGTATTATCACTAGGCTGTACGTTTTATTATATACAATAGTAACTAATATTAACTGTATCTCAGAGAGCAACTATGTCTTAAAGAAGGAAGTGTGCTTGTATAGTGTGACTTAAGTCTGCAGAAATGTTGATGAGGAGCAGGTGGTGTTGGTTAATGATCCTCTTAGGGGATATTTTGACTCCTGTTATTAATATATTACTACATGTTTGTCTGTTTCCATCCGCCGCTGTGACGTTGGAGCTTCGTCATAGCATCTTCTCTTCTGTGGTGTGCTGTAATACATACGTGCATTAACATACCTTGTCAGTGTGGTATGCCAAACAATTCATTCTATTTTATTGTGTCTATTTTGCTAGAGCAGGCATTTTATGATACATATTTTTTATTTTAACAAATGACAGAGGCAAGAAATACTGTACTAGAGGCGATTTCACTGTGGGCACTGTTGTTATACATTGTTGTATTGGGTTAAAGAGATATGCATTATGTTTTTACTTTAATTTGAAACACAACAAAATGTTCATTAATAATGATTTGAAATAAATATTTGCTGGCTGTGCACTGGTTTTGGTTGGAGTGTACAGATTAATTATATGTCTCTAAATTCTTTTACTAAAAAAGAAAACAAAGTTCACCAAAATTACTTAAAAATAATAAATACATGTATTCTTTAACATTGCCCTGAAAAAGTATAAAGATATAATTTAGCACAGAAACAAAATTGCTGATGACTTAAAAGTGTAGGCAGTGGTGGAAGAGAGTCCATAATGGACTGCTATTGATGGGAAAGGTTTGGGTCAGAGGCTGCAGCATGACGTAGTGCCATTCAAATTCCTGCCTTATTACTTAAAGATGTCATTGCTTCCTCTGTTCTTGGCTTGGACGTCTCTGAGTGGGCAAGCAGCATACTGGGAGTGGCTAGAGGAAGTCCCTGTCACTTCATTATTAGCTTTGGCTTCTCAAATCAAGAGAAAAATAAACATCCACTAGCAATGGAAAACTGCGACACAATGAGATTATCTGAGTGTAAAAGTGTGAGAGGTGGAGGTTAACGAGGACATAGGAAGTGCCTATCCTTAAACAACAAGATGGATTCTTGCAGCATTTGTAAGTTTACAAACTCATCAGAATCCATCTTGAGAAACTCTCCTGTAAGGTGACACAGGTGGACGGACCAATCACAGAGCAGCATTGAGGAAGCTGAAGAAGTGCCAAAACGAACCAAAACAAAATTGGCGACACTGACAGATATACTTATGTTAGTGAAAATACAGACTTTTTGTTTGTGAAAAACATGCAAGAAGGTCGGGAAGATGTCTGTGCTTTGCTGTCAGTTGGATTTAACCAAAGTTTGATTTTTTTTTAGCCTGTTCCACTGTTGTGACATTTCCACCAATAAAATTCAAATGATCATTATGACATTCTGTGTTTTCCAATTGCTTTCAGTGAGAGCTGTTTCAGATTGATAATGTGTAGAACTGAATTCAAACTGCTAAACATATCAGTCTGGCATGAGCTAGGTTGCCTTCATTGGGAGACCTAGGAGACAATCTGAAGTTAAATTCTGTCCATTCTATTATCCACTCAGAAAAGGCATCTAGTATGGAAAAAAATTAACAACTCAGTGTATTCAGTGTGGAATAAAGAGAAGAATAAAGCAATGATTAACCAAACTAATAAAATTGCATGTGGACACTAGAAAGAAACAAATGCTGGATTAATCAGAGAGGAGGAATCTAGTCTGGCAGAGTCCCGGGTTCTGATGGGAACTGAGCAGGATAGAATAGACTTTCTGTGTGAGCAAACACACACACACACACAACACAAATAGTCAGACACGGGACACTTTGACAGAAGGCCGCTGAGTTAGTTTGATAGTTTGACCTAATTATTCAAAAGGAGTGACAGTTGTGGCCAGTAATTAGATAAGGCATTTTTGCATATTTTGTTGTTTTTATGTGATTAAAAAACTATAAAAAGACTATAAGAATGCAAGATAGTTTTACATAACCATTATGCAAGGTTCATTTAATAGTCACTACTAGCCTCATTTGGATAAACTGATACTTTGTTTTGCAGGTGGAGGAGGAAAGAGGAAAGGTCGGAGTAAAAAATGGAAAGAGATTCTTCGTTTCCCTCATATAAGCCAGTGTGTGGAGCTGGGCAAAACCATTGGTGAGTTTAAGAGACTTCATCTAGTTACATTAAAGCATTAGTCTGTGTTTTTAGATGTGTTTTACTGTTTGTAGAAAGGGACTATGCCAGCATCTGTGAAAGACAACCCATCGGACGACTTCTCTTCCGTCTTTTCTGTGAGACCAGACCCAAACTGCAGCGATGTATCCAGCTTCTGGATGCAATGGTAATATTCAGGTCAAATATTACAGATTACATATTTTATGAATAGATGATTAAGAATCAATCAGTGATCAGTAGATTTGAAATTGAATGCTTGTTTTTTATCAACTTGCCTGTGCTTTTGAGCAGTTAGATTGGGGGTGTGATGCTATGGGAGTATTACCTTTCAGGGAGGGGGGTATGCATGTATTCCTCCAAGAACCAACGCATGCATGGTGAAATGGTGACTTCACCATTGAGCATTGTGAATGACGCCAGCCATTGTCCAGAATGTACCTCACCCCAAAGACGTCATCTAAATATTTGTACCTGTATTGCAATTATATTATATTTCAAGATTTACTCCAGGTAAGTTTTAGCTCCACTCTCTACGACGTGCCCTTGAGCAAGACATTTAAGATCATAATCTCTTCACAGTATTTCAAGATATGCACGGACAAGCCATGCACTATAAAGTGAGCAGTCTTTTCAATGCACTCACTCTGATTACAGCCATAGGTCATGCAGCACAGAAGAGACAATTAAACTGAGTAGTGATTATTCAACTAGCCTCTCTTCCCCCTCCCATTTCCCAATCTCTTTCTCTTGTGTCTAGACGAGTCATCCTCAAACTTTTTGTCCATGAGATCCACCACAAAACATTATTGGCCTGCGTACAATATTTGATTGGGAAAAGTTCAGACAAATGTTTTTATAGTAACAAATAAACCAAGCTATGTCCAAGTTTTAAACAAAATCTAGACCTAATATAGAACTATACCAAACAGGGCAATTAATTGGCATCAGGATGTAAAAAGGACTAAACTAACTTTAACCCCGGCAGAACCAGACCTCACCCATAGCTCACATAGCAGAGAGTAAAACAGACTTTCTCTAAATAAAACCAAATTGCTTTTAGTTAAAAGTATAGTTAAAGGGCCTTTATTTAAATGGCCAAAACAAACATGTTTCGACCATGAGCGGTCTTCATCGGGGCTTAGTTAGTCCAAATTTCTCTTTCCTCTTTTCCATCATGAGATCAGAAGAAGGGTATAACACCAATGACACCTTTACTACTGCCTGAGAGCCACTAGTCTAGACAAACAACACCCTCATGACACTTTTAAATTTTATCTATGCTCAGAATATCTTTGCAGCCATGTCACAGGACAGTAAAGGGCAGCATTGTTTCCCACTGTGTTTTTTCCAACACGGCATCCCCCACTTAACCACCTATACTAAAACGGGATGCCCCACCACATGGTATGGCTAATTGTGCTGTACATGTGACACACACTATGTTGAAACCCAATCATCAGTGTAATATCAGTGAACCAATCAGGCCTGGGGCTGACGCCAGACCGTAAGAGGTTCAATTTGGATTATTGGAACATCAAATTTGTGTGGTGTTCATATAAGATTACCGTAAACTGCACATTCAGCAAAGTAAGTTAGGTGAGATGGAAATATTCAAAACCAGTGCTCACTGTATGTTAGGGTAATAGTTCTTCAAAATAATTTGAGTAAAATATTGAAGAAAATTCTCATTTACCTCATATTACTGCTCACCAAGTAACATGAACAAGTAAGGCACCTTTTATAGATAGAAGTACTAGGGAAACAGTGATTATATTATTGTCCATATTATTTCAAAAGGTTATCAAGTAGTACTTTTTGTGTATTTTAGTTATAGACCTATTTGGAGGCAGGAGTTGCTATGGCATTAGAAAGATTGTGAGAGTAGCACAATTGTTTTATGTGTAGGATCCAAAAAGGCCACAGGGGCATCTTCTGTTCCCTTTGACTGACTCTTCCATCTGCAAAGGCTCAGAATCAGACAGCTCATTCACTGCGTGTGTAATTTCTCTTTATTCTCAGAGACAAACTCAATTAATCAGCTTTTGGCAGCTATATCGCACACAATTCTCCTCTTTCATCTGTGTCGCAAGCTCTATATGTCCACAAGGAATGATTTGCATTTAATGAAGCAACTTTTTAAATGTAATAATGCAAATTGGCCAGGAAATGTACAAGTACAATTTTATAAGTAAGCAACCAAGGGTTGGCATTTATTGTTTATTTAAGTTATTTTAGTGAGACACTTTTGTTCCAGGCAGTATTATGGCAGTATGGGATTAAGTGTATGCACAGTATATAAGTGTATGTAAGTGCATATGTGTGTGTGGTACGTGTTGTAGTGGAAAGTGGGTGACGCGGCTGTGACACGATGACACTCATGGATCTCCAGGAATCCCAAGTGTTTACTGTGTGGTTGCTAAGCGACCCAGTTCAGACAGAGAAACCCCAGGACAGTGGGGGTCTGGGGTGTCATGCTGCTTTGGCCTGTTTCAACTCCAAGATGTCATTCATAGTTCTATATAAAAAGGAATAGTTTGTTCTTTTCAAGATGTCACTAAAATCAGTCAGAATTAATCTAAACTTGAAAATTATTTACTTTTAACATTCACAGAAGCATTACTATAATCATTGCAGCTATTTGGTTAGGTTTATTACACTTAGTTAAAGTAATGAAAACAGTTACACATTAGTCATTTAAAGTCTATGCACAGATTTTTTTTAATCTACAACTGTATGTTTTCTATACCTGTTTGCCAAAGATATAAACAGTGAGTTATTTACTATTCATAAATATAACATGTATCCGTCTCCGTCATCATTTTGTGTACTGGTGCTGCAGTCTGTGTCAGCAGCAATTTTGATATGCAGAGTCAAACACAGCATATGTGAATGTGAGAGTGACTGTGAATCACACAAGTTACACAGAGAAAGCTGTCTGTGTGTCTACCAAAACACCAGCTACCAGGAACCATCAGAATAAAGCATATGTTTATACTTTTCATACTCTTTATTTCTGGAGTTGGAGTTATTGTTTTGTCAAGAATTAAATATGTAATATTAGTTTGATGTCTCATCTGAACTAGGTAGGGATGGAGGATAAATCAGCTACAATATCTGTATCAGTAATAATGGCGGGTTTTCTCAGATATTGGTATTGTTCCAATATTGAACATTTAGCTAAGTTGCCCCAGTCTGTATGTGTTCCTGTGTCATTCTCAGTTTGTTCTTAGTGCAAGCTTTAATGTGATGCAACACTTCCACACTATTGTTTGTGTATTTGTGTTGTACAATTGATACTATAATGTAATTTGTCAAATTTTGTGTGTTTTTTCAGGAAGACTATGAGGTGACGCCTGATGAGAAACGGAAATACCGAGGGGACCAGATCATCAAGACTTTTCTTTCAAAAGATGTGAGTTTTTATCACACTACAATGTTCTGCTGTTTCTCTTCTTCATATTAGGATGTACAGCAGGGTTTATCAAGGAGTGATTCATGTGTACACCTGTGGGAAAGAAATGTAAGCAAGCAGTTAGGCTGAGTTATTTTTCAATAAAAAAGCCACAACCTTCAAAAGGCAAATGATGAACAGTCTAATAAATAGTGTGAATGTGTAAAAATAGTTCATCCCACAAATAGGAGTTTTAGGCAAAGAGCTGTGTTGATGTTAGAGCCGTAATCCAATATACATCAAACCATTACTTTAAAAAGGCCATGTTTAGCAGTCATTAAATGAAGGAAGGTCAGTTTAAAAAATTATCATAAAATAGTAATACATTTTGAACAAAATTTTAGATTTATTTTCTTCACAATAACATTTGCTTGTGTGATAGAGGGGTGAGTTTGTTTCTATGTTCTATGTTTCTATGTTTCTATTAGAGATGTAATGATAACTGAAATATTGTGGTATCATATTGTTAAATGTTTCACAATAATATTATTTACCATCACAATATATCAAATTACAAGTTTCTTTGCTTATATTCATTGTTTTGGTGCAGTAATAGCTAAAAAAACAGAGGGAACTACATATACCATGATCCTTTGCTTAATTTCAGTGCAGATTATATGAAGAAATAACCGTTATGCACTTTTAGATGGATAAAGTTGCATATTCAGTTTTGTTTGCCTCGACAAATTATCACAATATTGGGAGAGGTACATCATGACAAAATCTTAGAAATTTTGATATCGTAGCATCATTACTTTCTACACTATTCTATAAGAAAAATTGTTATTTGTATCTATTCCAGGACTACTTTGTATTAATCTTGTGTTTAGATCTTCAGACAGCTCCAAAAGTAGTCCAGCCCAGTCTCACGCCCCCTAGTAGTCCAGATGTTTACAGCATGTTATAAAAAGTAATGCCATGTTTTGATGTGTGCCACCTTTTGTGTTTACATGTGTTTGTTACAGTCACCTCAACATGTCGACATTGTGGAAGGCTTTGTGGACCAGTGCAGAGAGAACCTGCAGATCAGTCCATGTAAGGAGATCTTCAGCAACTGCCGCAAGTAAGTTTCCCTTGCCCGCTGACACATTTATGCTCTTTAGATTTGAACCACAATCTAGTATAAATAGATATGAAAAAATGTCTGATAAGTTCATCGCTCTGTCAAAACCACAATATTGCTGAGAAACAACCCAAAATTAAATGTGTCTTTTGACTTCCCTGCTCCTGACCAACCCTGACTGAAGATCTAGATATGGCCCCTGACTGCTCTCAATCGGTTAAGAATCTGCTACTGTATAAAAATGCTCAAGCCTTGTACACATGTACACAGTTGTGATAGACAGAAACTTTTCCGAGTCATTTAACAATTTAATAACATTTCTTTATATAATTTCAAACAATCTGAAATCATGAAGAAATTATGTTTTTTTATACTTTTATATACTACTTTTTATACTGTACTGAATTTTAACAGTTTTCCACAGAATCTCTTCAAACAGTCTTTAGATTTATTTCATTATTGTCCCATTAATGAAACTTCCCGAAGATGCCAAATAGGTCATTTATGAAACTGCTCTTGGGCCTTTGAAACACCGCCTCACTCACTCATTCACACAGTACTGTACACTTCCTCACTCACTCTTTCACACAGTTCTGTACAGCTTGAACTGGACAAATCAGCTTTGCTGTATCTCACTGCTCTCTGTTTGGTTCAGGGCTGTCCACGACTACCTTAGTGGTGCTCCTTTCGCCGACTACCAGAACAGCATGTACTTTGACCGCTTTCTGCAGTGGAAGATGCTGGAAAGGTTAGTGGAAATATCAGTGACTGATGACACAAAACACCAGCAATCCTCAAATTACATGGAAAATGAGAAGTGCCTCTCAAAGTAAATGTTGCCTTGAACATCCAAAATATGTGATATAGTCATAAAAATAAAATTTTATAGAAAAAATATTTTTTGGATGCAAGACCATGTTTTGATCCTGCCCATTTATATAGTAAATGTCTTAGGGTAGGGTAAAACCAACATTTACTTATGTATAAAATAATAGAATAAATAAAAACAATTATCAAAATTATGATAAATAATTTTTCATTCAAGCTACATAATAACACAACATGCACAACAATATTGTAAATAATTGTGAGGTAACAGCAAATATTAAAAGTAGTCTGGAAATATGGGGCCTCTGATTACAACAGACTGGAAAATACTTTATACTGGAGTCTGTGAGAGGCAGTTAAAGTCCAATGAAAGCTTTCAGAGCTGACTACACCCTTTGTACAGGAAACACAGCAGGCCAGTATTGAGTTCCCCAGATAATATCTTCCTCCTAATCGATAATGTGTGAATGTTTATTAATGGATTTTACTGTGTCTGTCTTTTGTCAGGCAACCAATCACGAAGGACACATTCAGACAGTACAGGGTGCTCGGTAAAGGCGGATTTGGAGAGGTGGGTTCATAATGATAATGGAGGATTTAAATTGCAGCATGTGTTTATCTATAAAGCAATGATGTAATGCATGTGGTCTCTCTATGCTAGGTGTGTGCTTGTCAGGTTAGAGCCACAGGGAAGATGTATGCCTGCAAGAAGCTAGAGAAAAAGAGGATCAAAAAGAGGAAAGGGGAGTCCATGGCACTCAACGAGAAACAAATTTTAGAGAAAGTCAACAGTAGATTTGTTGTAAGTATATTTTTGTACATTACTATAATACTATTATAAACTACACTGACAAGGCCTAACAATATAATTCCCTAGGTGCAATAAATTTTAAATGCACAAAATCCTATGTATCTCAAAGTTATAATCCTTTTTGTGGAAAAAAAAAAACTGCATGTTATGCATGTTTTTGTGTAAACTTCTCTGTGTGTTTTTAATTGTCCCTTTTGGACACAAAATGGTAGACATCAAATTTTGGCCATTGCAAACACCAACATTTTTCACATCCTCATTGGGGATATCCCATCTGCTAACAGATGCTTTGATAACAAATATTAATAATGTTATTATGTAACTCACTTTACCATGTTGTACCTAAGCACAATACACAAATGGATGCCTTGTAAACATGCAGTTATGTTGTTTTTGCTGTAGGTAAGTTTAGCATATGCGTATGAGACCAAAGACGCCCTGTGTTTGGTGCTGACCATCATGAACGGAGGGGACTTGAAGTTTCACATTTACAACATGGGGACACCGGGATTTGAGAAGGACCGGGTCCAATTTTATGCTGCTCAAATCTCCTGTGGACTGGAGCACCTGCACAGGGAGTCAATAGTCTACAGGTAAAGCTCTGAATACTCTATGTATTTAGAAATATAACCATTTAAAAAGCACCCATTTATTGTGTTGCATTTTGGTCCAGCTTTAACTATACAACTTGACTATTAAACGACTCACCAATGTGGATCCATTGTAATTCTATTTTGCATTTTATACTTTTATTCTAGAGATTTGTTTTTGTAATACATGATTGCTCCCTCTTTTTACAGGGATTTAAAACCAGAAAACATTCTTTTAGATGACAATGGTGAGTAAAATGCTATGTCCCCATTCGCTGTACACAGTGTAATTGATGAGAGTGTTCATAGAACACATTTTCTTTGTTCATAGGACACATTCGTATTTCGGATCTGGGGCTGGCCATCAAAGTGCCTGAAGGAGAGCTAATCAGAGGAAGAGTGGGGACAGTTGGCTATATGGGTAAAATGAATTGTAATCATTATTTATATTATCACATTTATTATTATTTACCAGTTTTTAACAACATCACTCTATCTCTCTAGCTCCAGAGGTAATAAACAATGAAAAGTATGCCATGAGTCCAGACTGGTGGGGTCTGGGCTGCCTAATTTATGAAATGACAGTTGGACGGTCACCTTTCCGTGCTCGTAAGGAGAGGGTAAAACGTGAGGAGGTGGAGAGAAGAGTGCAAGAGGAAGAGGAAGAGTATAATGAAAAGTTTACAGAGGATGCTAAGGCCATCTGTCGAATGGTGAGTGCTTGGTTAAGTGTTTGTGGAGCAGTAATTACACTAATAAAATCTACTTTTTGGTTTAAACATGCATTTTGAGTTTTCTGCACTAGATGAGTAAAGAACTGTGTAAAAAAAATATATGTTTAAAAATATAGTTAAGTTATCATCTTGTTTTCAAGTAGGAATAATTAATTAAAGTAACTGTTCTTGTGCACCCCCAGCTGCTGACCAAAGACCCAAAGCAGAGACTTGGCTGCCAGGCGGACAAAGCTGCAGGAGTGAAGGCACACTTATTCTTCAAAAACATCAACTTCAAGAGACTTGAGGCCGGGATTGTGGACCCACCATTTGTGCCTGATGTGAGTAGTCACTAAAAGCACTGCTACATTTGGTGCATGTGTGGTTTTTGCACAATATATACATATTAGACAAGACCTGTATGACCACTAACCAGTGTAATGGGGTACCAGTGGTTTAGGACCTAGAGCCACCTGAATAAATAAAGGCCACCGTTGCACTTTGAGAAGCTAGTAAATTGTAATATACACATAATGCATAATTTTATTATAAGATAACTTTTTAATTATGTCATAATTTTACATTTTAGATGTATGTTTTTAGCATCCATTTAATAACAGCTTAGGTATTACACACTGGTTTGATAAATTTGATTATCCTCAATGGAAAAGTGAACTATTGCACAGATTATTCTTATCACTATATTCAGCTACATTACATAATATTCATGTTATGCAATTCGGTGCCATTCTCAATGTTTTTCTTTCCGACTCATGTCTCTCCAGCCTCGGGCCGTCTACTGTAAAGATGTTTTGGACATTGAACAGTTCTCCACAGTCAAGGGAGTCAATTTGGACCAAACTGACAATGACTTTTACTCTAAATTTGCTACAGGCAGCGTTTCCATCCCATGGCAGAATGAGGTGTGCATTACAATTCCCAGTTTGAAGCATGTATCAGGAAAAACATTTGGTCATGTATTTAATTTGAATTTCTCTGTTGTTAGATGATAGAGACAGAGTGCTTTCGAGATTTGAATGTTTTTGGACCACAAGGGACACGACCTCCAGATCTTGACTGGAACCAGCCACCAGAGCCCCCCAAGCGCAGCCTACTGGACCGAATCTTCAGGAGACATGTGAGTGGGCAAAATTATTTTATTTAAAAAAACGTAGATAGACAGATAGATAGAGAGACAGACAGACAGACAGACAGACAGACAGATAGATAGATAGATAGATATAGTAATTTATTGACACCGAGAAGGAAAATGGCTTTAAAAACATTTATGGATTTTTCTCCAATAAAGATCAATATTGCCAATAAAATTCCAATAATAAAGTAATGGATTGTCTCTATCTGCTCCTACAGCACCCAGAGGTGTCCATCTCCAACAGCCGAGTGCAGTCTTCCAGCGTCAACTCCGTGGACTCCATGTCTAATTCTGCCCCCTAGTGGCCAACGTGGCAGTCACACTTTACATGCAGAAATACGAAATATGAAAGAAGAGCTCCTAGGAGGGCTTCCTTGCTGCTGTCTGCCCTGGTTTTGACAAGGGTCTTTTAGCAGCCGTTGGATTCAGCCTCAGTCTATAATGGTCATCCAAGGAACGGACAGTGGGCATTTCTTTGTGCATTTCGGATGGTTTGAGAGGAGACTTTTTGGGACAAACCTTAATTTTACCCTCAGGATTGTTGGACTATAGAACAGAGCCACTGAAGAGGATAGTAAAACAAGCTAAATATTCAGGGGATCCACTGTATATGAAGACCACCACAGGGAACAGAGGATGGGGTCTTGGTGAATTTCTCTCTTGAAAGATTCTTCTCTCTTAACTTCCGGGCTTGTATATGTCGTATTCTCTTCATCCCTATTTACTACAACCATGGCCATATGCACCTGTCACCAACATCCACCCTGTAGTATTTTTATAATATTACTGTATATATAATCTGAAGACCATGAACATAACCCAAGAAACCTTTTATTAAAATGTCCAAAACAAAATCACATGACCACAAGGGTAAATAATCATGATGACACCAGAACTGAACTGAGATTAGGACAGAATTAGGTCCAAACCATGACTGAAATCCAGTGTATTATTATTATTATTATTATTATTATTAAGAGGATACAAATCCTTAATGAAACCATTACTAAATCAAAACTACTCAAGTAATCTGGATACAGTGTTTCTCATTTATATAGGGGACTAGTAGGGCCCCCCATTAATTTTTACCCCGGTCTAAAAACAAGTTTATGCATGTAGTACAGTCATAAACTTAAATGAGTAAATATGTTGAATTTGTAATCAGTGTTTTTTATCACTAAGGAATTGGAGTGAGAGTAAATGCTAAAATTGTATTAAATTAAATAATTCAAATATGGATGGCCATAATAGTCCCATTATAAATCTATTAGAAACATTGCCAGATATCAGCATACGTACAGTAAATTAATCTTGACTTAAATAGAGGATACATTAGCCTTACACTAGAAATTACCCAGGATTACTTCAAGAGTAAACTAGACCTCAGTCAAGAACAACGGACCTTAGCATTTCAAATGTTTCTATGTACGGCCCTGTCTATACCCTGTGCCTGCACCTCTTGTACAACTATATTAACTTATTTACTTTGAATATTACACATCCCATTACCTCAGACGATCACTCCTAAACATTCACAAACACATCACCTCGGCAACCTCAGCACATTGATGTACATTGCCTTGCGTATACTCAGGCCAAAGATGACAGTTTTTGGTTGTGTGATTTTGTTGTCATGCTGATGAAATTTTGGCTTTTGCGATTTGTTTGTCATCAACATGAAAGAGGTCAAATCCTGGAACTGTTTTCTAGATATAAATATGAGCCTGCAGACATATCATACGCTTTAAGCCCAGTAGGCTACATAATGACTGACAGATTTGTGAGAATTGTGTTTATTGTGAATTGATGCATGGACAAAGTGTAAGTATGAACAGCTGTATCCCTTTGCGCTTCTGCATACCTCATTCCACTGATGGTGACATTAGGGCTGCATGATATTGTTGTAACATTGAATATTGCAATAGTTATATTTGCTCCCTGTATTTGGATACATGCTCACATTTGCAATTCAGCATTAAATTATAAAAACATAGGGCTGAATTACTACCTTCTACATCTAAAGAAATAAACAAGGAAATGTTATTACCGTATTTTCATGGCTATTAGGCGCGCTCTTAAGCCTCTAACCCTGGCCGCACGCCCCGCAATCCAGAGCGCCCTATACACAAATCCACTCGGGTGTCCCAGCACGACTTCAGTAAACTACAAAGCCGCACCACCTGCAGCGCACGCAAACACACATGGAGCAGACAGCGACTATGCAGCGAAACACACCCGCAGCCACACTCATCACTCCACATGGACAAGGAACGGAACAGAGGAACGAACCGAAAAAGCAAGTGCAATGTGCCACTTCTAGAGACAACTGAATAACTGAGTCACTGCAAATACACCAACAATCCAGCGGTCCCAGACAGCACCCTCCCTACGTGCCACAATTGAACAAAGCCCAGAGTCACCGTGAACGCGCCAAACAAAGTCCGACTGACCCAACTAACTGTTTCTTTTAAAGTCCGGTGCGGTTTATTTGTGAAAAAAGTTCGAAAATAGACCATTTAATGACAATGCGTCTTATAATCCAGAGCGCCTAATAGCCCGGGAAATACGGTAATAGTAAAATGATGTAATTGACTTTTAAGAAATCAATAATTGTAATTGACAAACTAATTATCTATTGATCCTTTTAATGAACGGAATTGCATTTTACCTCACGCACTATTGCATTTGCCAAGATTGTGATACATTTTCTATATATTGTGCAGCCCTAGTTATCATTGTATACAACACAAGTCTCTCTCGGTTTACCACGTCACTTTATATTTGACAATATGTGAAGTTTGTACAGAAATCTCCTGTTTCGCTTTTTTCCTCTCTCTACTTTCTGCACAGTCACTGCCCCATCGAGTGGAGAGGAGCACATGCACTCAGCCGAACTTACAAGTTGCACATTTTAAAAAACTAATGTCATTTTTTTTTCAAGGCACATTGTTGTATAGATATTGTCATACAAGCCGTTCTTTTTCTACTGTTACTTTTGGAGCTTTTCAGAATAAGTGTCTTTTTGCTCTCCCTATGCCTTCACCGTCTATGAACAACTGCTGCATTGCGTCATTGTCGAAATATTTGTGTCTATGATATACTATATGCTATGACATTTGCTTTTTTTTAGATGTTCTTCAAAATGCCTCACAAAACTTATCAGTCTTCCTCTTGTGCAGTGTCCAACCACAAATGAAGACAGGGTATTTAACAGCTGCAGGAAGTGGGGAAAAAAAAGTTTTATTTTGAAAGGAGCACAGTTTGCAAAACACATGTTGATAAATTTATAATATTGTGGAAACGTTGCATTATTTGAGTAGATCTATCTAGTTGTGTATGTAGTGTGCAGTGAATTGCAAACTGATTTAAAGAGGCACTATGTAATTTTTTGGTTCTGGGTTCGTCACCTGCTTATGGATAGATCATTGCTCTGCTTGGAATGTTCCACAGTATGATAACAGCTCTACTTTACATTTATTCAAATACAGGTGATTTTATTGTTCAAAAATACTTTAAAAAAAAAAAACAACAACAAAAAACAGGCATGCTGACTGTGAGCAGGGTTACCTCTTCAAAGATCTGACCTGTAACTTGGTCTAGTTTGGTTTTCATGAAGATAGAAAGGTTTCATATCATACTGTGAAACATTCCAGACAAAGCAATAACATCTCCATGGAGAAAAGCATTTGACAGACCTTCCACCAGAAAAATTACACAATGCACATTTAAATTTCACTATAGCCAGGCTTTAAACTGTCACGATGAATAAACTGCATTTTTATAAATATTTAATATTACCATCTTTTTTTTTAAATTTACAGTACAGATGCAATGAAAAAGGTGGAGTGAAGAAATGGCCCATAGTGCATATAGATAATAGTATATAATCTACAAAATATGAATTTCACTTTGAATTCCACAATATTGTATCTATAAACGTGTGTATTATTGGGTAGGGAAAGAGGAAGACACACAACACACAAAGAAGTGGCCTTTTCCACAGCGACACAGCCAATTAAAACAGAGCAAGGGTTACAGCTCTGCTCTATTTACGAATGTCTTTTTTCCTATTTTAATATATCTTCTACTATAGTGGTCCATGCAGTAACTGAATTGTCTTTACCAATCTCACACACAAGCCTGTTTCTTCTCTACATAGTACTTGATAAAGGAGTATATTTATAGTATATAAATCAGACTGAAGTGCCTCCTTGTAAGCATGCTCTCCAATTTCCACACAGACATTAGCACTTTGTTGTTCCTCTATTGTTTCTACCAGAAGACCCCAGATTTATGATGTTAAAGGTTGTGGTAAAGGGAAGATATAGGAGGATGTGGTTGTAGAGTTGGGAGTTTCCTTGTTTAATGTGATGTACAGAAAAGTGCTGAGTGCATGTGAAAGCCAAGTCCACTGTGTCCTTCGAATCCCAATAAATTCTGTGCTATAGTTTGAATACTCCACGCTGTTGTTTGCTGTCTTTTGTTATTTACAATATATTATTTGGCTTTACTCCTGTGCAGAAATCTTATTATGAAGTAGGGAAGTAAAGACTTAGACAAACATTATTGATCCACAAGGGAAATTATTTGGATATACTAGCTCACAGCATAATATAATAACAAAATGAAACATATGAATGGTATAATAAATTCTAAATAAGTAGCAGAAGTAGCAAGAGTCTGGTGTCAAATAAGGAATAATTATATATGTAAAAATAATATTTAGAAATATAGTAATAAGAATATCTCAGCTAAGGTCACATAAGAGGTCACAAGGAAAGCAGTACAAAAATTATAGGATGAGGATGAAGTAAAGAAACAAAATAGAACATTAAAAAAATCAAGTTAACTTAACTGATTGACATTTCTTCACCATTTGATTCACCATTCATTTAAAGGTGCATTGTGTAACCTTTCTCGTGGAGGGTCCGTCAGATTCTTTTCTCCTTGGAGATGTTACAGATTTGTCTGGAATGTTTTGCACTATGGTATTAAAGTTTTCTATCATCATGGAGATCACACCAGGTCAAATTACAGGTCAGATCTGTGGAGAGGCAACCCTGTTCACAGTCAAAATTCCTGTTTGTCAAGGCAGAGCAATGTCATATCCATAGAAACAAGAAGGTGATGGACCCCCTACTGAAAAATTACATAGTGCGTCTTTAATTTAAATAATTTATTGTCTATAATTTTCTTCAATACTAATAAGATTTAATAATCATCAGTATACTATAACATTTGTAGGCCTATATGTTTGAGACCTAAACATTTCCTCTGTAGCTTGGACAGTCAAATGAATAATGCAGTCTGTCCCAGGATGGTGGTGCTCATTAAAAGATAATGCTTCTCTTGTGAACCGGGGAGACTGGGATTTGACCCACTTCTACTCCATTGTCCCATCAGTGAGAAACAGAATGGACTAGACACATGACTGCTTTGCCTCTGTCTGCTCCAGCACTGACTGAGACAGCACTAGACCTCTGTGTTCTTGTTTTTAAGGCCAGATGAACCAATAGATCACTCGTACTTCAGAAGAGAGATGTAAGGTTGGCAGGTTAAGGTGACTGTAGTTTTGCTTTGGAACACCTCCATCTTGTTTTTATTTTCTTATTAAAAAATCCAGCTATTAATCAGGCTATTGCTAGTTTGTGTGGTGCTGCCTCTGTTGACATTAGGCGCATGTGTGACGCAGAGTGAGTTGAAGCAATATTACTGTTAGATAATGTGGGTTTTATTTGGATGTGGTCAGCAAGGTTGTCAAAATATCTGAGTAGCTTGGTCAGACTTGGAACAGGGAATTTAGTTGTGTTTTATAATCGTGAAGTAATGGTTTGGCATGAAATAAAATGCTTTGAAAACTTGACAACAAGCTGTTACTGACAACACTTTTGTTAACGTCATCATCTATTTTTGTTTTACTAAACATTAAATATACACTTTATTATTTAATTAATTATATCCATATGTGCTAGAATCAAGAACATAATTACAGTTTTACCATATAAGAAAATAATAGATTTTCTAATGCAAAAGTACACAAAAGCAGTCTATAAAGATCTAGCTTGTATTAGTGGGATAGAGAAGAAAACTGAGAAGTTTATCAATCCAAGGGGTGAATGTGTGGAACAGTTTAGATGATGATCTCAAGTTCATTGTTTGTTTAAAAAGTCACAAACTCTTATTTAGCAGAGAAGAATTTTAAATCATGAAGTTGGATTTGCTGCATGTGTATTATTCCTGTTTACAAATGTTTTTAAATTTCCCAGTGAGCACAATGTAGTAATGTGAAAAAGTATTGTATTTAATTTGATTTATCTGAGTGAGACAGCCTGTTTAATTTTGTTGAATAAACTAAACTAAACTAAACTAAACACATTACATATTTTTGATGTGCCCCTTTCCTGCTTTGGATTCTGCACTTTTTTTTTTTTTACATTTGAGAAAGATCGCTATTTCCTTAAGCCATTGATAAGACTAGGTCAAGTTGGTAACAGTTTCACCTTTGCTTCTTGTACCATGAGAAGGTGGATGAGCCATTTTGAACCTCTTCCAGAGTCTTCTCTGATGCAAGTTAAACTGTCTAATGTCCCACACAATAAAAATGACATTTTTTGTGAGTGAGTCAAATGCAGTGGGCTTTGGGCACTGGACGTTATCTGAGGTCTGTAACGACGTGCAGCTCGTGTCCATGTGGAGGCCTTGGCACCACAGACATTGGGACAGTGAGGTGATGCGTGTGTTTATCTACGCCATGATAACCGTGTGTCCTTGTGGAATCCTATATATACAGACACCTTCACTCTATTCCAGAAACAAGCTTTGGTCCACTCTGCTCTAAAACACTAGGTGCACTTCTTTAACTTTATTCTATCAACGTTATTACTCATACAGATTTGGAGACTTTGGAGTAATCAATTTACATTCATTGTTAATTAATCCAGTTCACTTAAGCTCCCAGGAGATCTTATAAGATAAAATGCTGCCTGCAACCTTCAAACTGTGTGCTGGCATCTCCTACAGGCATATGAGGAACATGACAGGTGAGTAAATTGTCCTTATTTGGATTTTCAAAAATATGTAACATTATCTTGAAATTTCTTTATTTCTGACCAATGTAGGTTTAAGAAAAAATGCTCTAGTTGCCATTCATCATGAGCTGAACAGGCTGGCTGGTCCTGGTCCAAGCAATTGGATAAGCCAAGTCCGAAGACGGAGCTCTCTTCTCAGTAAGTGTTCAAATGGTTTTACTGTGCTATTCAAAATTGTGATGTTTTAGGAACTTTAACACCATTTACAAAGTGAAATTATTACTCATATTCTACCTATGGTATTTTTGCTACTTTTTTTTTTTTTTTTAGAATTTATTATTACTATTTCTCTTTGTCATTGTAATATTATGATGTGTGAGCTACTGTGTCCAAGTAATTTCCCTTGAAGAAATTACACACATAAGAACACAGAAGATCTTTATTACACAGAGTAATAAAATGTATACTTTTAGTGTCAAGGTTCCCGGATTATTGAACAGGAAGGTTTCAATGAAGCAGAACTGTCTTATGTTAAACAAGGAGAGGATGCACTGAATAAAGCCGTCAGCATCCTTAGTGATCAAGAGGACTGGACTGTCGAAACTGTAGCTGTGAGTACATACAATAAAATAATTACTCAAGCTAATTATTCCAATATTGTGAACCTTTTATGTAATTAAATATTGTTAAAATGTTCACCAGATTTTAAGGAAAAAATGTGAACGAATGCATGACTGAATACTGGCTGTATCTTCTATTGTTTAGGCGAATGGAGACAAGGTTCTGAGTAAAGTTTTGCCAGACATCGGGAAGGTGTTCAAGCTGGAGGTGATGCTGGAGCAGTCTCCAGACAGTCTGTATGAGGAGCTAGTGGGGAAACATGGAGCAGATGGGAGACTGGAATCCAAATGTCAAACAGGTCAAGGTAAGCACATTTGTCTTTAAGCTGAGTTTAAAATATACTGACTTCTACTATAGCTTTCAAAGGGACAAAGGGATCTGTTGCACCGGGCTCCAGGGTTTTAGGGGCCCAGAACTGGACCCTCTTCCTATTAATTTATATGACAGGGTGGCTCATGTGAGGCTTCTTGCCCCAGAGACAAACTTTATTGGTACAAGGGAATGGATGCAGTAGCTCACACATCACAGTTCACATTTAACAACATAAATGTATATTGCATCTATAGATACTTCAAAAGATCGGACAGGACACAATGATCACCCATGAGGTTTCGGCTGAGACCCCTGGTAATGTAGTTGGGCCCCGGGACTTTGTGAGCGTGCGGTGTGCAAAACGCAGAGGCTCCACCTGCTTCCTGGCTGGAATGTCCACCCAGCATCCCAACATGCCTGAGCAGAGGGGAGTAGTTAGGTGAGATGAGACAAGAGGACTTCAAGGCTTTCTAGCTTTAATAATAATAATAATAATAATAATAATAATAATAATAATAACAACAACAATAATAACAATAATACATGTGCTGAGGTTTGAACACTCTCATAATTGCTTGTTTGTTTGTTTGTTTGTTTGTTTTTTCAGGGCAGAGAATGGGCCCACCTGTATAGTTCTGAAGCCCTGTGCTGATGATTTTAATAAAACCAAGTTTACCTGGTTATTAAGTCTCGATCTAAAGGTATTTAAATTACAGTTTACAGACTGTATCAAAATCTTAAAATGAATCAAATACTCAGTTTAAAAGGTGCAATGGAAATCTGTTGCCTGCAATATAAAGTATTTGATGGGCTCATTGTTTAATCAATATTAATGATCCTCTTGCACATCTATACATATTTTAAATAATAATAATAATAAAAATGTTACTCATCCTGTTACTTTGTTTCTGCCAGGGCTGGATCCCAAAGACTATCATAAATAAAGTGCTCTCACAGACGCAGATGGATTTTGCCAATCACCTCCGACAAAGAATGGCCACCAATGTTTCTGTGGACATGGCTCCTGCCGCCTGCTGACACAAGACACAATGTCACAATATATAAAAGTACACAAAAGCTCTTCTGTTCATATCAGACTAAAGTAAAATTAATACTGCCTCAGAATTTTAAGTTAAAATGCTAAATAAAGTCTATACTATCAGATATGGCCCCTCCTTTCTTTTACTGTATTTCACTGTTCTATTTATTGAACCTGGATTACTGAAATATAGAATAAAATATTTCATGATTTAATGTCTATAAATTTTTGGGTTGTGTATCTTCCTATTTGTATATTTAAATTCAGAAGAAGCTTCACAGTCACATTTCAGAATGTTATAAAGCTGAATCTAAGACTGAAATCTGTCCCCAAAATTTGAGTAACAATTCACACATTTGGTATTCTTAACATTCTGGATATGGATATAGAACCAGTAAAAAGACTCTAAATAGGCCTAAATCTGTCGCAAGCTATTGTTACAACCAAACGTTTTTCCTTTACTGGACATATTAGAAATGAATCATTGTTATTTAGGTGCATTAAATGGCCCTTTTGCTTCCTTACCCATTTTTTACCAGCCATGATTTTGTTTTTGTTAAACAGTCCAACAAATGGTAATGACAGACATCTGCTTTAAATCTCATCATCTGAACATGCAGATGCTTGGAGAGTTGCACATTGTTTTTGTATCCAAGAGTAAGAACTTTGTGGGATAAAGAATTATCTAGAAATAACATGGTAAATAACAAGAAAAGATAAACAAACAAAATATGGGTATCATAAGTTATTTCCAAGTCTAATTTGTTTGGGTCACTGCCTAATTCAATAACATATAAGCTACATTACATAAACAATAGCCTATCTGTTTGTTTAAGCATTTAGCCTGTAGCTTACTTAAGTTCCCTATAGGTTGCTCAAAAGTCGGAGGTTATATTTTGCTCTTTTCAAGTGATGGGCTATTTAGCATCTTATCTCTATCTCTAAATATCTTTAAATTGCACTAGACAATTTAAACCAAATGTTAAAAATACCTAAAGGGAAAGAATAAATTACACTAAGTCATGCACTTATAAATGGCTTTCATATAGGCCAGAATAAGATGCATAGGACCTAGGCTATATCGCTATATCCTGTATGTTCATAGGCTTCTCTTTAAAGTCTGTAATATTGAATGCCCCTTAATATGATTGCTGAAGCTTTTATACAATTTAAGACTGACATCATAGCTATAGACAGACTGTAATGCTGTAAGATGGGAAGGAGAGAGATAGAGACTGTGAGAGAGGAGGAGGAGAGAAGACTAACCATGACGTAATGATCCAAAAGCTGTGCAGTGAACTACAATTCCCAGGATGCACTCGAAATTACCGTGGCCACAGGACGGGGGAAGGGAAGCTGAGATTGGAGGGAGAAACAATCAGAAACTAAGGTACTTTTAAAGATTCTTAATTGTTGTAATTTTGCTAGGCGTATAACACACTAAATTATGCATTTCACAGACAGTCTTACAAAGATGATAAGATTAATCCGAAATAAGCTTTTTTTTTTGTTCAGACGCTCCATCTCCGTTACAGTTCAATAGAGCTTTGGCTAGTCCTTTAGTTAGCTTGACAGCTGGCTTTTCGAGTGGCAACGGCGTTGTAACACATTAACTACACTTGTTTTTATTATTTAAGCCATATGTCTATTTTTTAATATTTATACAGGTCTGAATGCACGCATGCAAACGTTGCATCCTTCTTTTGTTCGCGCTGTAGCAGAGTCTTTGTGCGGCGATCATAGCTGGCACAGGGCTAGCTCGGCGTTGCAGCGACAGTAGCTGTCAAAGCGGCAGCGGTAGGCTACTGTAGTAGAAATATAGAAAGAGGCACTGCTCTTCCCATTCTTTGATCAGATATTTATGCTGGCATTGCCAGCGTGCCTTCGTTTTTTTTATCGTTTGCTTTTTGCAGACGTACCAGATGGAGCTCTTAAACTTGCAAAAGTCAAGAGATAGTGAAAATACGTCATTAGAGCAATCTCTTTCAGTGGTAAAAGTGTTAAGGGCGAGTTGGACCTTGCAACATGACGATCAGAAAAGTAATATGGTATGGTATAGGTAATATGATTGTCAGTTATTATTTTTTTATCAACTTATTTAACGATACCTACGTAGAAATCTATACAAAATCTGTAATATTGCACTGGTACACTGAATGTAGACCAATACTTGGTGTCCTAAAATACAGAAAATCATTTAGCTAATTTATTTTGTGCTATATCTTTGCTATATAACTAAAATATAATTTAAATGTAGAACTTTATTTTTATTAATTGTGCTAATAACATCCTTTTAATCTTTTATCTTTAGATGCAGTAACCACATGGCATCTCCTCTATAAGACTGACTGTACGCGGACCCTCACCACTCATATTTTTATTTTTTACTTTGCTCGGCCTTAACTTTTAGCTCTTTGCTCAGCCTCAAACTTTTAACTAGAAAAGAAGTAACCAGACAGCAGCAGAAAGTGTTCTTGGTCTTGATCTGTGTGCCAAGGTAATGAAGAGTCTTGGGCAAGGGGAGCCCAGCCCTGAAAATGTCATTATCTAGCTTTTGTGCACCTCTGATGGGGCAGAGGAGCCAACCAAGTGGCCAAGGAGATTTGTCGAGGAAAGGAAGCAAGGAGCTATCTGAGGAGGCTGTGTATTGATGTATACCCATTCTGCCAGGGCATTTTTGTAGACTGAAATTCACGCATTCATCCAAACACAGAGAGTCAAGGTTGGATTTTGGGTGGTCAGAGTATACACTCAGTCATTACTACTTCACAACATGGATCTCTGCCACAAGTGAGAACGTCTGGTACAAACAAACTGGTGACTGTGGACCCTGGGCTGTCGGGGTGTAGAAGAAAACAAGTCGAAAAGCAAATGTGCACTACAACAACCATGGTGGTCCTGTCATCGGATCTTTGGCCCATCTCGCGCTATGATTTCACTCGCCTCTAGAGGCCAGGATCCGGAATACAATTGCCAGCCACCGCACATATATGCAATGGAGGAAGACATTGATGTCACATCCCACAAGGAGGTGATTATATTTTGCATGCTCACTTTAAATCTCATTATATCAGAATTTTAGTGGACTCCCCAAGCAATTTGCATTACTACATTTTTGAAGAAAGAATATATGAATTAATAAATAATTAATGATGACACACGAAGACCAAATTAACCTCAGTGGACTAGTATCATATATAGCATAATACATGTTGCATAATAAGCACAATAAAATAAATGCCCAAATGAATTTGCCAGGTGAGATTAAACATAATGTGTTATCTAACAACTTAATTCGTTAACTTCTCCTGGGGACATTATCAAATGTTGTTACTGCTCTGTGCTGTTGTTTAATGTCTCCAATTAGGAGGTGATTTGTTTAAGCAGTTCTGTCACATGTGTTTAAGTTAAGTCCTAAGGTCAACAGTGCTCTCTACCTTAGCTGTAATCTCTGGTGCCGCTTGCTTGGTGTGTTGCCATGGCGGCAGCTGACAAAGCATTTCCCTTATCCCCAGTTTGGTTTTTCAGTTGTAACATTAACTCTCACTTCCTGGCACCTATCCATGGCTGTGGCAATTTAACTGTATACTAGGGATACCCCTGCCCAGCTAAATTGGGTTTGGACATGGCAGGGATAGCCACTATGCCACTCAATGCCAGTATGGGAGGTGTAAAGACAAATGCTTTTTGCAATGAATATAGGGCATGCTAGTTTTACTTGCCAAGAGATGAATATTTGATAAATACATTTTTTAACTTGCCTCACCTGTTCCTTATTATTTTAATTTTGTAGGGTCTGAATGGCTTGTCTCATGAATGCAGACCAGTAGAAGACATAAATGGGCACTCCAATCATAAACCGGTAAGTTTTTTCCAGTTTGTGAAGTAAACACAATAATAAGATGCCCTCTTCTATGTGTAAGTGTGGGGTAGCTTTCAACTTAAAACAGTACTTTTAAAATGTTATAAACTGATTTTGCAGGTCATGAATGGATTGATAATTGGTCACAATAACAAAGACCACACAAATGGCAGTGCTCCACTTAGAGCTTTGCCAGTAAGTTGACCTCTGTCCAAGCACAGTTTAAAAAGCTAATTAAGCAAATACTAAACTAACATTTTGTCCAGATTTCAGCACTGAAACAGAATGGCCTTTTACAGACCTTGTCAGCAGGAGGGAACCAACCAAAACCTGCAGGTGATACACTTCTTTTCTTAACTTGTGGTTCATCCATGTATCCAAGTGACATAACAGTATTTGGAAGTAAACCCTCTCTTTGGGTTAAGAGATATATAGTGTTAGTTTGCTTGTGTTTACATTGCTGCTCCTTATTACTATTCTGTGGTAATTTGCCTCTATGCTCTTGACTTTACAGATGAAAATGAGGAGTTGGAAAAGGCCAGACAGGAGTGGGAAGCAGTTGAGAGTGTACAACCAGGTCAGACCTCTTATGAAACATGCACTTTCAAATGTGATTGTTTGGTTATATTGGTGTGTCATATCATAAGCTAATATGTACTATATATATTTTAGTGATCTCTGAAGATTCCACCTCAACTCCACTTATCTCTTTTAATGAAGCTCTGCAGTACTTCCAGACCACAGATCTTGGGGATTTAATTGTAAGAACCACAACCTGACATACTACACAAAATGCTACTCATTAATTATAATTTAAAATGGATGATGGATATATAATTCTTGATAGAATATGTTAAAAATGATCCCCAAATAATACATCTCAGTGTCTTCTATTTCTTTAGTATTTTTGTCCCACCCACATGAAAACAAAAATGTACAGCTGGTTAGTAAAATAAAAGTTAAATTGTATTCTAAACATTATTGTTATTTCATCTTATGGGATTATACTTAACAATCTTATTTACTTTTTATGCATTGAATTTGCTGATAATTTTAGGTATGCTTAAAGTAGGAAAGATTAGTTATAGTTACATGTTCTTTATTTCACGTCTGTAGAAGAACATCCAGCCCACCATT